TTAGGGGCCCCGACGGGTAAATAGATGACTAGATAAGGAAAAGGCTTAGGGCTAATACTGTACACATGGTCATTGTGGGAGTGTTGTTCTTTTATTAACCTCATTAACTTGGACTCAGGGCACTAAGGTAATAGCTGCACAGGTTTTATCAGAGGTGTTGCAGGAAGATATGTATAGTGTTAAGCAACTAACTGTTCAACTGAAACAACCAAAGACAAACATATATAGTGAACTGCAGAGATTTTACATCTTTTAAACAAAACTAGCATTCATTCTTATTGTATGTCAATCTGCTCTATGACTGAATGAAACCTGCAGTACAAACTCAACTGTACCTCAGATATCAAATCTTAGCCTGAAAAGGATCTGGTGCCTTTAATCTGCTTGAAATTCAACCAGTGAGACAACAACAAACCAGTGAGGAGGTCATGGGAGAATTACCATGCTATAACAGGTCTGTTGTGTGTGCCTGTGCCCTGGAACCTATCACAGTAGCATAGACAAAGCAGACTGGATGTATACAATAGGAGGCCATGGGCCAAGCCAGGCTATTTTATAGGCTGCTGGGCTGCTCTGTCCTCGGCTAATGTGCAGTGGTCAGTGTTTGGGTTGCACTTTGGGTTTGCCTGAGCTATAAAGGCACTGAGGTGTTGCAGGGACATCATGTCCTCGCAGCAGGGCCAAACAACGGTTAGGAAGTCACTGTCATGCACACTCGCACATTTAGCCTACTTGTTCATTCACATTAAATGAAACGTGACTGATTTCGGCCTCTAAGTCAAACGTCACTCTCTGCTGGACACACACAAATGTGACTCAGTTTAAAAGACTTGACTTTCACTGTCTCAGCAGTCAACGTGTTTTGTGGATCTTTATTTAAAGACAGATTGTGGTCCTCCACTAATGCATTCTTCCCATTGGAGATATCTGATACAAGTGCTCAGATCCAAAACAGAGGCCTGTCTTTTTTCCCCGTTTCCTGTTAACCGTAAGCCTTACTATTTTCCCATTCTTTTTATGCATCAGTAAAACCTCTTCCACAAATGTGCCGGCAAACACATTAACAAAAAGGAAAACTTGTCAACACAAAAATGCTTAAATATAGCAATGCCCGCACATGCAAAACACAGTGGCTACACACTGATTGTATAAGCAGCTGAAAATGAAAAAGTGAGTCATAACTATCTGGACAACAGTCCTATGCAGACTCTGGGGTTCAACTTGGAAACATGACTGGGTTCTAATGGGACTCCAGACACGTATCACTACTACGTGACTCACTGCTTTCTGAAGAACTGGGGGGATGAGCAGAGTAAGGGAAAGATGGACAGAGATGACAGGGGGCGGAAGAGACAGCAAGGGACAGGTTGTAACACAGCTGAGTGTATGGGAGGAAAAAAGTTTCCAGCTATCTTCGCAACTGAAAGTTGTTTGTGCACAGTGTATCTGTGTGTTTGCTCACACAAGCGTGCACATGTTGATGTGCATGAGTGTGTTTAACGTCACAAGGCTCCAAATTTGCCGCCATCTGTGATCTGTTGTTTCCCTGTTTAAAGGTAAGATGGTTGGAGCTGGCGCGAAGAAGCGATGTGCTGGTGTGAGCTGGAGTGGGGGGTTTGCCCATTAGACCTCGTGCTATGGTTGGTAATGGTGGGGATGGTCGAGGTTCACTCAGGCCTGCAGAACGCCTGTGGAGAGTGACCTCATCGCCTGGCCCTAGCATTGTGGCAACAGCACAAAGCCATGCAGGGGACAGACAGAAGACTACACATGAATGTGGGGGAGGGCCTGGATGGGAATAAGGATGTAGATGTGAATGAGCCTGCATGACTGGGAGAGAGAGAACGACAGGAAGAGAAAGGATGAGAAATAGTGAATTCTTAAAATAGGGAGAAAAGAGGACCACCAGGCTCTCAGGAAGAACAGGGACGAGAACACAGAGAGAGTCAATAAGGGAGTCAGTGAGACAGGAAACACAAACACAACTGCAAATAGACTAAACAACACACAACAGAAACCCGGTGATGTGTTCGTGCTGCTGACAAATGTATTTCACAGCCCACCATAAAATACAAATCAAAGATTCAAACACACGCCGTACTGCAGCTGATCACACAGGGACAGAAACAGGGCCCTTTAATGACAGGAAAGAACACAAATCACTGTAAAGCCACCTCACAAATACTGTACACACACAGCAAGGAAATACCTCTATTAGCTTTATAAAGTCACATGATTACGGGGTCAGGTTGAAGAAGAATTTCTGACAGCCTCTCCATTATTTAGTTCTGCAAAAAAATGTCTCAAATAATGTACTTGAACATCCTATAAGAGTTAGTTGTCTCAAAGTTGGTACAATTGTATGTTAGCAAACTAGGTAGCAACATATTTTGGTTTGAAAATTCAATATGTTTTTAGTGAAGTAATTTTTTTACTATAATGAGGAGTAATTCCTTATCTCCCTGAGCAATTTTGACTATTTCTGTCAATAAATACACCTGAGTAACAAAACTTCACTCTACTCAAACTTTGCCTGTGTTTCTTAATATATCTAACATAAAAGCCTATACATCATTACATCTAAATACACTGTTAGGATAGTTCACAGATTTGCCTTCTTCATGAGTGTTGGTCTGTTCAGCAAAAGCCAAGATTGCACTGATAGATGGTATCAGTTGATATGATCTGTGTGAGGCAAAAACACCCTCTAGGGGCTGTTGTGGGGTAACAACACAATGTGCCACTGTTTATGAGGATGTTTAAGTTGAGAAATCAGTGGCTCCATTATGTCAGATTTACACAAAACCGTTCTGCTGTTATTCTTCATTTTATAAAGAGTATCAGTTTCTGATCTGTGCCCATTAACTGGAGCACGGAGCCTGATACTCACATCTATTGACTTAGAGCCTGATACAAATGAATGAGCTATCAGATGTAATGATGAGAGCTGTGATAATCCGATATGACTACACAGCTTGCGATCACACGCTGCATCTTCTTTGTTAACTGGGGCCATAAAGGAGGCCTTAAATAAACACACAGATCTTCCTCTCTCTCTCTCTCCCTCCCTCTCTCTCATGCAGTTTTTAGTGTCTTTTTCTCCGCCACTGTTTGTTTATTTAACTTTCCTGTCTCCCCCTGATTTATTTATTATTGTTTTTGCACCTCCTCAAGCACCATAAACACAGCAAAAGTTGCCAGTCAGCTTAGGATGTTCCTTGTCCGTCGGCAGGGGTTAGTGGGGAAGGTGTAGAGGTCAGAGTTGAGGGTCAAAGGTCAACTTATCGGTCACCTCATGAGCTCATTACTCTACTTGTTAATTAAAGGATTAGAGGGCAGGATGTAATAACCAGTACCACTGTATAACTCCCTCATGCAGTGAATACTTAATTGTAACTTTTTACCAGCCCAATATTATTTATTTGTTACTATTTAAGCCGTTTCCTGGTTTGAGATCATCTTTGATCTGAGAGCACTTTAAAGATTAAGTCATGCATTTGGTTGATTTATGACTGGTCCGTTATCATAAAAAGAGATTTAACAACTCCTATTAGCAGATGGTAATGTTTTTTTTAGAATACTGCGAACTCTGCTTAGACAGCATAAGGTATGAGGTAAACAGCGTTTCCCAATCCATGCCAGACTATGTGGTTACACTGAGAGCTTCTCCAGTCTGTACTGCCCCCAGGAGATGTTTTTGTGGTATAAGGGCATAGCATTAATGCCAACAGATAGAGGGATACAAGTGAAGCCTGATAAGCACATGTCCCTATTTGTAAATTATTTGTATCATGGGAAACATAAATCCTCTGACAAATTTCCCAGAGGTGCTTTCTTATGCATTCAATCACTGAAAGTGACTCCAAAGAATTGTTTCCGTTTGCTCCCTTCTATCTTCATGTTACATTCATAAATGTAAAAGACATTTCAATCAAAGCCATTAGGAAAAAGGTGATAAAAATAAAAAGTGATAAAGATATAGAAGTTTCATCTATTTCATCTATTATTTTCATCTATTATTATTGACATACAGTATATATATCATTTAAAAAAATAGATGGTTAATTACAGTAACTGTAAAACTTTTACGGTTACTGCTGTAATCAACCATGTTAAAATTAGGTCTAACAAAATGGATCTTATTTGAACATGATTAGTCGTGATTAATCTGCATATACCCTGTAATTTTTTTAGATTAAAAACTTGAATCATCAAAAAACATTCTTTGGGGTCTCTTTCAGTGATTGAATACAAAAAAAAAAGGATTTATGATTCAGAGGATTTGTTTCCCACGATATAAACAGACCCCATACAAATCCTTTGACGGCTCTATTTAAAAAGAAATAAAAATACTTATATGCATACACAAAAGTACACATTGAGCTATTTAATATTTCTTATTAAAAAAAAAAACTAAAAAAGGCTTTGGTTTTCAAACTAAATCCCATTTTCTGAAAACTATCCCTTGAGCTCTGTTCGTTAGCCAAAACTAGAACATTAAAAAAAAGCCCAGGTGTGAAGATGAGGTAATCCTAGTCCATTTAATATGACAATAACTACAGTGTGTACACTGTATAATGACAGCTGTGTGCAGGCTGATTTGGGTGTTAAAAACCCAGGCTCAGCACAATAAGAAATCAAACACCTGTTCCCAGCCCAACTTGTAAGCCTGTGTGTCTATTTGTGTGGGCATATCATAATGAGGTCATTAAGGCAGCTAATGTTCAGAGGAAAAGGAGTTCCGCCCTGTGGCCTTCTGGGAGCCACAACATGGCAGAGGATCTATCGTTAGTGGGAAAAGTTCAGTCGAGGTCAAAGCGATAAACACACAGACAAACTGTAGTGTGCATTCATTAACGTGTTTTTTTTTTTTTTTTTTTTTTGTTTTTTTTTTTGTTTTTTTTTTTTTTTTTTTGTTTTTTTTTTTTTTTTTTTGTTTTGTTATTGGTTGTTTTTTGTTTTTTTTTTTTTTTTTTTATTTTTGATTTTAGTGGTTTTTTTTTTTTTTTTAGTTTTGATTTTAGTTGTTTTTTTGTTTTTTTTAGTTTCGATAACCAAACAGGGGAGGCACAGCAGCTGAGACCATAAAATGTCGACATATGGGACGGTGTATTAATCAGAGACTACACACTCCCAGCTGGAACTGTCACGTGTAAACTTGAGAATGTGTTCTAGTGTGTTTACATCTCAATAATGATAATGTAATTCCCTCCATCGTCTGTAGTGATACTTGTATTTGATTGCTTGTTGAACACGTGTATGTAGGTGAAAAAAACAAAAATGCTTGATTTGGTGAAAAAAAGGTGAAAAAAACAAAAATGCTTGATTTCACATATTCAAAAAACTTGTAGCTCTAATGTAAATTTGGGCTTGATCAGGTCTGCAAGATTACTCACTGTAAAGTGCACATAATATTTTAAAATACCCTCTACTGTAGGTTTCATTTTTGAGGTCACCAGGAAGCCACAGCTGCAGTTCGCTTATCATCCAGTAGGGTCTAACTGCAAAACCAATGTTTCTCATAGACGTTTACATTTTTAAACATCTTCTTTTGATAAAAAGTTAAAAAAGATAGTGCTTGTTTTTCCATGAGGATGAACTCGGAAAGTACTGGCAACCAGAAAACACATTTAGAAGTGTTGACGTTTCATGTATTTACAGTAACTAATGGATGACTAATAAACTGTTTCGTCACATACATACAGCAACTATCAACCCACTAATGTATTCTGACTGAAACACAAAGCTCTTCAAAAACAATCCAATAAATACGTGAAGAGGAATTGAACCCAAAAGAACAGTCTAACACCAACAGGCAGTTGTCATGACATCAAGTGGAAACAGTCAGCTGTGATTACGTCCCTACAGACAGAATGCCAAAGAGCAACATTTAAACTAAGCAGCTCTTCACCGAGAGAAGAGGGTCTGAAATAGAGAAGGACACAGAAAAAGAGAGTGATCCATGCATCTGTTGGTGTGCGTCACTCTGTGACAGTTTTGGCACATCTAAAGATACCAATGTGCTTCACCCAAGAATACAGCATTTGCGATCAAAAACTGTACTTGAGATAGTCTTCAAGTTTTACTGTGATGACAGTTGTTACATCTTGTCACAACACATGGTGTGTATGAGTATTTACAATATTTTACGAAGTGCAGTAATTACACAGCCAGGTTTTTTTCTGTAGCCCATGAATCATGTTCAAGTTTTTACAGTAACCAGGCGAAGTGCACAGGGCCAGCTGGCTGCTCTGTAGGGGTTTTCATTAATGGTGAAGGAGCACATTTGCTATACATCAACGTTCTTCTTTCTGTTGATGCTCCAAGCACAGCAACCGCAACACAACCGCAGTGCGACCAAACCACCAGCCAAGCAGCCTGCCGTCCAGCATCACCAGCTGGAAGCTGGGAGTGAGACAGAACAGAAGAGAGGGAGACAGTGAGAGGACTAAGAGCTAAAGAAGGAAAAGTTGGCCAACTTTCTGCCATGTCCTTACACAATCAACCAGGAACCTTCAGCTGCGCTTGCTGCAGTTTTACCCCCAAATCCCACAACAATGTATTTCTGTGTGCACATCAAAAATGGCTGGTACGTGGTGTGTGCGGCGAGACAGGGGACATGACAGCCAGTCAAAAAAACGTCTTCATCAAGCACGGTTGAACGGGGCTGACGACATTACTATTACATAGAATGCCACAAGGTCGTGGCTTCTACATTAAAACCTGATGGTTTATGGTCTACTGCCACATCAGCCACCCAAGTGCACGGTTTTTCATACTGTCCGGACCTATCACATGTTGTGTTCTGCTCGCGGCTGCTTCAGGGGCACTGACGTGCAATCAGAGGCCTGTGTGCGTTGCCAGAGGAGCGCAGTAAATTGTCAGCTGACGAAAGTCTGGAGAGTGTGTGTTTTAAGTTTTTAATCTGTGGAGGCATAAGCCAACAGGAAGGCTCCGGTGTTTTCCTGTCCATGGGACATAATGGATTCTCCCCGCCAATGAAACATTATTCCGGCTGGCAGGCAGGGACGCCAGCCACCTGAGAGTCTTTCCCACAACATCCTCTCCCTTCTTAGAGCCTGTTCCAGGCATCAGTGGAGATGGTGCACAGATGGACCGGTAAAAGGGAGGAAGAAGAGAGGAGAAATGGGAATAACAATAAACAGGAGCAGATGGTATGAAAAAGGTATGGACCATTCCCAGTCTGAACAGACCCACAGGAATTAATTATTTAACCCAAAGTAATGGGTGCTTTATTGCCCGAAAGTGAATCGCATAATATTACCATAACACAACAATGTATCACAAATATAAATCTATCCATTTACCTCATACATTCCATTAAATGGCTTCGTAGTCCTTCTCCTCAGATATAATTACTATCACAACCCACTTGAGCACCTGTTCAAAAAAATGGTTAGGACAACCTTCAACAAGCCTACGAAGAGGGTAGGTGATTCCAGTGACTTAGAACAGGGCCAGTTCCTGGTGCAGGATAGGCAACTTGGAGTATTATAAGAGCCAATCTACTGAGATGCCTGAGTAAAAACATCTCTAGATGTGACTTCATTGTTCTTCCAATAATGAAAAACTAAAAAAAGAAGCCAGCATGATTTAGTTTAAATTTTTGGTGTAAAAATATGTGTTTTTTACAGTTCAGGCAGTTGCTGGTGGCTTTGTAATGCTGCAGGTGTCATCCTTACCTCATACTCTGGTTCCCTGGAACATGAATGACTGTATATCACCACAGGTCCATCCTTGCTGATAGTGTCTTTCCTTTTTTCGATCACATTTTACCAGTAGGAATAAACACCATGTCATGAAGATTAAATAATCTTTTAACTGTTTCCAAGTCCAATATATCACCTTTAAGGTATGGTCACAAAGATAATTCACATTATAGATGTGCAGCTGAGTCTGCAGTAAATGCAGTAAGAATTGTTTTAGCATCTTGTTGACTGCATCCTGGTAGATGTAAAAATCTTCCAGGGCAGGCAACACTGGCACACAGTGGCCATGAGAGCAATGTACTCAGCTAGAACTACTGAGCAGCTCATCAACACACACTCCTGCCCGCATACGAATACACACACACACGAGAGAGATGATGTGCAAATGTATCATAAGTCCTGGAGATGACAGTGTAATGCTTCTGTACCTTCTCTCGTTGTCATCCAAGTGAGCAAACAGCACATTCTTGGAGATGGCCTTTGCCAGAGCTGTCATGGTCTTGTAGTCCTTTGGAATCACCTGTGTAGACAAACCAAGAATAACCATTACAAAAGAGTGGACTGCCACAACAATGTGCAGGTGGACACATGAAACAGACCAGCACTAATACAAAATAAACCCGACTTCAAAGACCAGCTTAATTGAGTAATTAAAGAGCAGCGCCCTGGCAAACTCTGAAAGGAATATCGCACACATGTGTCGGTTTATTTTTGGGAAAGCCCATCTGTTCAGGAATTACATTCAAAATGTCACACGGCCCCTAAAACTTCACAAGAGACCTGAACTCATTCATAAAACATGCATTTTCAGGTCCCACTCTGCGGTGTGTGTGTGTGTGCGTGTGTGTGTGTGTGTGTGAAAAAGAGAGAGATGGAGAAGGACAAGAGCGAGAGAGAGGGAATGACTGTCATCTGTAACCACAACTAAACCACAGAGGTCCATACATGTAGAGAGACATCCGTGAAGAGAGAGTGAGAAGGACAAGAGTAAGGAAAAGAGGAAAGAAAAATGTGGAAAGAATAAGACGACTTCGCTGCTGTGTGTGTGTGTGTGTGTGTGTGTGCATGTGCATGCATGCACGTGTTTTGTCTCTGGGTTAGGCTGTAATTACGTTAAACCAACAGATGTCTCCACATGAAGACAACCACACCAAAATGCATAACATGCACACTAACACACACACACACACACACACACACAGACCACATTACGTGTGGAATAAAAAGAGATGTTTTATCTCTGTCCAGTGTGAAGTCAGTGGACGGAGATAAAAGAGTTCATCATGGCCTGGATATTCAGTTAGTGGAGGGCACAGATATCCAGAGGGGCTCAGTGCTAAAGATATTTTCTTCAAGTTTTAAGACGAGGCAACTTAATGATCATAAAAGAGAATAATTCTCCAGGTGACTGTTTAAATGTTCTTTACCAACTTCCAACCTGCAGAACTGTCTGTCCTTTCTAACTGATCCGGATGAAGACATTCTTCAGGCTCTCGGCAACTAGGGAAACAGATGGGTCAAGGCCACGTGGGAAAAATGGATTTCAAACAACACTAACAAGAAGTTATGAGAGGAAGTCGGTCAAATCCAGGCGTTAACTTTTGGTACGTGCACATACTTTCTCAGTCTAAGAAGTTAGACTGGGGTTGATTTAATGACAATAGCAAATTGCAGCGGCGGTTAAAGTACAAGTGAGAAAGAAAAATATTTGTCAAAGCAGCAGTACTGTATGTGTCTGACATTGAAGTAGTTATTGAAGTAGCTGAAGTGGTTAAAGAGCCAATCAAATCTTGTATATGTCACAGCTTTAGTTGTCGGCGTGTTTGTGTGTTTGGACGACATCATCAGATGTCATCAACACATCTGTATGAGAATATTTCTCAACACAAACATCACAAGCTCGGCTCAGTGTCTTTGTGATTACAGCCTGCTTATGGGTGTTCACGCCATCATGTCGTTAATGGTTTATCAGCTTAATTACAAATGAATAAGCGGAGTAATGACACAGTGACGAGGGAGTGTGTCTGTATGTGCGCTCGTAAGTCACTGTTTCTGGCAAACCAGTGCGCTGCACTGTGGCTCTGCTAAATTATGGAATGAACTTGACAGGTTTGCCACGGCACTGCCAGCTCTGTGAGCCTGACAGCATACGATGACAAAACACAGGCGCTTAACTAATCTTTTATTTTTAGCTTCCATTCGACTGAACAACATTACATGTCATTCTGTCTAAAAAAAAACTAATACGAGTAAATCAAATAAAAAGTTATTTGTAGCGAGTGTCTTCTTGACAGCTTTCAACAATTATGGGTTTTATATAAATGGACAAGCATAAGAAGGCTAATTTGCTAATTTAAGATGAGTGATTAAAGGGCCTCCATTTTTTTCTCTAAATAGATTTGCCTTGTGGAAAATCTTAGTTAGAATGAGTCACGTACACTTGAATGGCTGTGCTGGACTAAAAAAAGCAAATTTTTAAGCTTAAAAAAGACAAAACCATCACATCATCCTGGAGATGAAATGTCAACCATGTCCCAAAACATGAGTGGGAGTCTATCACAGTCAATCCTCTATCACCAGGGTCATGTTTGTTTACATGCACTGAACATTAGTTTGGCAGCTGATTCATACACTCAGTGTTTGAGTATATGTAATTAAACTGAATTGGCTGGTGTTTATTATTGTCTCTTCTAGCTTTAAACTAATTATCACTCATCTAATTCTCACATTGTCCCACGTGTTAATTATTTTTGATGAGTGATGGTAGAACTACAGTTTTGTTGTGTCCTCATGTTTTTGCCCAAAGTAGTTCGGAATTTAAAATGTTGGCTAATTACGCAAACGGAGAACCAACAACCTGTGTTCTCTGTGTTGTGGTCACATGCAGTGCAGTGTTAAAACAGTTTGATGAGCATTGATATTCCACCGTGTGCATGATTTGGATATGTGTGTGCATGTTTGCTTGTTCATGACTTTTTCAAGGCTGACCTTGCGCACGTAGCTGACGGCGTCCTCTTCGGTGTAAACCTCGGCGCTGACTCCTCCTCTGCGACGCCGGGCTTTGACAACTGGGTTTGGCGGTGGAGGAGAGACCTCATCATCGTGTGAGTCAGACTGGCTGTTAGATTTCTGGCGTGCCATGATTTGCTTGCATTCTTCCTGTTAGAATGAGAAAAGAAGCAACATTGTCAAGGCCCGTGACTCAAACCCAACCCATTACATCGTTTTTATGTGGCCCTCCAGAGATTATGTGTGCAGTAGCAGCAGTAGATTGTCCATCCTTGATTGGGTAATTGTGCTTCTCAAGTACTAACCGGCTTAATGACATTGTACATGGCGAACCTTACATTAAACAAAAACAATAATTTGTCCTATTTAGAAAAATCAACATGGCTGCAGATTTGGAAAAGCTGCACCACTGTTTGGCAATTCTTAGGTTTTGCACCAATATAATCAGAAATGAATATGATGGCCCAATAATCTAAGACAAATTATTTTTCTGTAAAATTGTGGAAAGAATAATCACAATGGTAAAGTCATGGGCAGCTGAAATCTCAGTCATTACATATCAATTTAATAGATAAAACAAAAATGTCTCACATTATTATGACAATCAAAGCAGAGTAAAGACAACGCATCACTGACACTGAGTAATTTTTTCAATGTTTCTCTGAAACTAGATGTTAAATCCAAAACTATCAGCTCAGCACTTATATAAACACTCATTACTTCCACTATTGGTTTCAAAATGCACAGAAACAAACTAGATATATGTAGTGGGATAAAAGGCAGTAAAACAACACATGTCAGTTACTGTGAAGAACAGTCGTCAGCTTGCACTTCCCCTCATTACTTCCTGGTCCTTCCTTCCCCTGACTTTGCTCCCCTGGTCGCAGCATCATAATGACATCTGCACTGTGATGATGCAGAACTGTGTACATGTTCTGCATCATCACTGAGGGAGGCAAACACCCCTCAGGGCACACACACGCACATTACACTTTCTTCCTGCTTACGCAGAGTCACTGCTTCAGGGAACACAGCCAGAAGCAGAGGGGAGGTAGAGTACATCTTACGAGTGTATGCACACGCACTTCTATGCAACACACACACACACTAAAAATGTATTGCTCACATAGAATTAAATTGCAGGTGTAAAGGACTACAACCTCCAGACACGATGGCAACAGAGACAAAACCAACACACACTTATGTTCTCTTTACCAGTAAAACATGCTGGATGTATATACACTGTCTACAGACAGAGGGCTCCTTCTTTACCACCACAGGCTGTATGCCAGGGTCAATATACTGTTTACGATGCTCTTAACTACTACCGTAGATTCCCACTGGTTACTTACACTAGAAAGTACATTTCATCATGTCAATGGAGTTAGCTTTAGGTGCTAGGCTAGGATTGCTAGCAGAGGTATTTACCATGGCATGGAGAGCCTCCTGCTCAGGGCTGCTAAATGTCCATCAGCCTGTCACAGGCACAAGGCATCAAGTCAAAGTGTGTCAAAGTCAGCAAGGGCATTAACACCTGACACACATGTCACACCTCAGCAGCAGCAGCAGCAGCAGCAGCGGCGGGGGCAGGCGCACCGGGCCCGCCGGGGGCACCAGCAAGGGCCGGAAGGGGGGGGAGG